ATGTGGTTGGTCGTTGGTCAGACAACACGACAAGGACGAAAATACAGTAACAGAAGGAAAACTGTGTTGTGCACTGTGTGGACCAAGCCACATTGTCCACAGTGCATGCTGTGGAAACATCGAAAGCTTGCAGCTTCCTGCATTCAAAACTGTACACCTGGGCTCCGATAATTTCAGAGACGGGGCACCGGGTCGCACCTCTGGCGTTTAGCCCAGCGGTTGAAATTATGGGGAACAAAAAAGTTCCCCCTAATTTCAACCCCCCCAAGCGCAGATATTTTGGCGCTGAGTCAGTCCCCGCTGGAACATGCCAGTCGGTTACGCTTGTTTCTACCCATATTCATCTCCTTCACTTGGGCCGTCCATTCTATGCCACGTAGGAATCTAGTGCGGCTGGTTTGCTTTGTGGGCCACGAAAAACCTGCCTGGGAGCCTTCTCGAATCTCTTTCACCAGCTCATTCCAGCGTGGAAATGTGCAGACGCGTCAGGTCACAGGCTGTAAAGCTCTCGACTTCACTGTTGACAGCCTCCGAAGCGCTCGAGCTCCTGACCCCATGTGACGACAGGGGCCTTGCAATTATAGGGAATGAAATTATCGGAGCCCAGGTGTAATGGGTCTTTTCGCTAAACTCATACGCTGCCCGGGTTTTCCCACGGGCTTACCAAGGGTTATCGCTGTTCAGAAGGACGATTCAAGCTGACATCGGGGAATACTGTAAAGGGATATTATTCGCGTGCGCTGAACAGAAAAAATATGCTATGGTAAACAGAGTTCAAACCAGATGATAGGTGGTTGAGGCGACAGGGGTTGTGACTGGTAGGGTTGTGGTGGAGAGACATATGAGGAATTTTAAAATGTCTGGGAAACGCTTTGGGAGGATGGGATGCGGTTACTAGGTCTGATGGGTCACTTCACACGGCAAATCCCAGAACATCCACAGCGAACTGAAAGTCACCAAAATCGGAGGTCCCTAGCGCATGGTTCCGTTCTGCGGCAGGGTCTGACAAGCCACGGGGAAAGAGCCTTGGCGTGCCTGGATCCTCGAGCTGCCCCGCTGGGCTTTGCGAAAACGCGAACTCGCCGCTGCCAATGGAAACGCTCCGATCATAGAACGAAGACGACGGCCCATCGGAAGGCGAACTGGACGAGCTGGGGGTCGACGCGCTACGGAAAACGCGCGGAGAGCGCGGATTAACCATCTGGACACTACGTACTAAGCGCTGATTAAAAAATGAGAGCACGGCGCTGGAAGGAGCTGATAATCAAGTACGATGAGGGACATAGGAGAAAAACTGACGTAACTTGATATGGATTGAACTAGATATATTTTGGGATCAGGCCCATTCGGTGGAAGGTGGTGTGGTGTCTTGGCGCTGGACGAAGGCACGATGAATGCGCGGGAGGTGACGTGGCGAGCTGCCTGGTTTTGAAGGGGGGTCTTTCTTTCGCCCCACCTCAAGCCGAGGAGGCTGCTGGTTGGTGTTGGTTGGTCCATCCGCAGGCACCCATCGACGCGGGGCGGTCTTGGTGGGGGCGAGGCGAGATGGCGCAAGAGGGTTGCAATTGAGAAAACAATCAGCCGAATGTGGTTGGTCGTTGGTCAGACAACACGACAAGGACGAAAATACAGTAACAGAAGGAAAACTGTGTTGTGCACTGTGTGGACCAAGCCACATTGTCCACAGTGCATGCTGTGGAAACATCGAAAGCTTGCAGCTTCCTGCATTCAAAACTGTACACCTGGGCTCCGATAATTTCAGAGACGGGGCACCGGGTCGCACCTCTGGCGTTTAGCCCAGCGGTTGAAATTATGGGGAACAAAAAAGTTCCCCCTAATTTCAACCCCCCCAAGCGCAGATATTTTGGCGCTGAGTCAGTCCCCGCTGGAACATGCCAGTCGGTTACGCTTGTTTCTACCCATATTCATCTCCTTCACTTGGGCCGTCCATTCTATGCCACGTAGGAATCTAGTGCGGCTGGTTTGCTTTGTGGGCCACGAAAAACCTGCCTGGGAGCCTTCTCGAATCTCTTTCACCAGCTCATTCCAGCGTGGAAATGTGCAGACGCGTCAGGTCACAGGCTGTAAAGCTCTCGACTTCACTGTTGACAGCCTCCGAAGCGCTCGAGCTCCTGACCCCATGTGACGACAGGGGCCTTGCAATTATAGGGAATGAAATTATCGGAGCCCAGGTGTAATGGGTCTTTTCGCTAAACTCATACGCTGCCCGGGTTTCCCCACGGGCTTACCAAGGGTTATCGCTGTTCAGAAGGACGATTCAAGCTGACATCGGGGAATACTGTAAAGGGATATTATTTGCGTGCGCTGAACAGAAAAAATATGCTATGGTGAACAGAGTTCAAACCAGATGATAGGTGGTTGAGGCGACAGGGGTTGTGACTGGTAGGGTTGTGGTGGAGAGACATATGAGGAATTTTAAAATGTTTGGGAAACGCTTTGGGAAGATGGGATGCGGTTACTAGGTCTGATGGGTCACTTCACACGGCAAAGCCCAGAACATCTACTGCGGGGGGGAGCCCAGCCCAACAATGCATAACGATATACACTGTACATCGATTTCTGGAACTGTTGTGTAATCTAAATTAGATGTGACAGTGAAGCAGAGATAACTCCGAGTGTGTACCGCGAATGTATGTCCTAGAGATTCCCCCGTCAGCTCTGGGGGTAGCTAGCCACCCGTTTCATTGCATGCATCCCTGTAGTCTCGATTAGCATCTATTCTAAGAGTTGACGTTCGACAATGAGGTGGAGCGATTGACACGTCAAGAAACACACGTGAGACTCAATACACCTGGGCTCCGATAATTTCATTCCCTATAATTGCAAGGCCCCTGTCGTCACATGGGGTCAGGAGCTCGAGCGCTTCGGAGGCTGTCAACAGTGAAGTCGAGAGCTTTACAGCCTGTGACCTGACGCGTCTGCACATTTCCACGCTGGAATGAGCTGATGAAAGAGATTCGAGAAGGCTCCCAGGCAGGTTTTTCGTGGCCCACAAAGCAAACCAGCCGCACTAGATTCCTACGTGGCATAGAATGGACGGCCCAAGTGAAGGAGATGAATATGGGTAGAAACAAGCGTAACCGACTGGCATGTTCCAGCGGGGACTGACTCAGCGCCAAAATATCTGCGCTTGGGGGGGTTGAAATTAGGGGGAACTTTTTTGTTCCCCATAATTTCAACCGCTGGGCTAAACGACAGAGGTGCGACCCGGTGCCCCGTCTCTGAAATTATCGGAGCCCAGGTGTATTGAGTCAAAGGCGTCCTGGACATAGCCTTCAAATCAAACAAAGCATCCCTGCTGCAAAGCAGCCGAGTTGATGAACTGTGCAGGTGACATCGCCGGCTTCTGCTCTGTAGCGCCACGCGCAGCACACACATTTGAATTGTTTTTTCGCCTGAGTGACGGAAGGGAAACGACACCACCCAGATGTATGCATGCATATCACTGCAATTGTATTCCCTCCGTCCAGTCCTGTGAAAACGACATCTACAGTTTCCCTTTATGGGCAGGGCAACTTTTTGCGTGACCCTGCTTTCGAGCTCGTCATCAAGTCAATCTGGCACTAGGGGATATTTAGAAAATTGGGTTCTATAGAATATTAACATATAGTTTTATGATTCTATTGTGTACAGTTTCAATTGATTTAAATTCAACAAATCTCTTATCAGGAAGACCACGTCACATTCAGACCAAAATTCAGCATTGTATAAAAAACATGATGTTGACTCTTTGTCCTACCGCCCAAAACGGGAAATATGCTTTTCTGGTGACTTTATATACCTTACATCTCCCATCCAGTACACTGCCAGTAGTGCAGCTTGCCATCGGTGATCTATACCTCCCCAAATTTAAGCATTATAGTCTTCTTGCCCTTGGCTTTCTGTTTCTTCTTTGTCGAAATCTCCAAAGACCGCACAGAAATATGAAACCTGCAGAAGACAATAAAGGAAACATGTTAACGAGGTCAGATAACCTGCAGAAAGATATTGCAGCATGCACTATGCAGACAAGTGCAGGTGTATGGAGACAATAATGGCGTCTCAGGTGTTACAGAAAGTAATAATCAGGAAAAGGTTTTATCATGAGACAACGAATTCCAAATAACGTGAAATTCAATCAGAAAGGGTGGAGTAGTATGTGAATTGAATTGAAGTTGTCTGGGGTGTACACACCGCAAGGGTTAGCGTGCAAGATGCAGAAGATTAGGGTTGACTGTATGAGGCGAAATTAAGGACTGGTTGCTTGAAATGCAAATGAGTATGATTGACGGCATGAGGCACGAATTTGTGTGTAGAGCCGGGCAGGTGGCTAAGACGTATGTATGAATGGTGTTGAATATGGGTCTGATTATGAGATACTGTGCGGGTGTCAAGTATAGGGACTGGTGGAAGGGATTCGGTGATGTGTCATGTGAAAGGCGTGTCATAAGGAGATGGAGGGGGCAAGAGAGAGGGAGAGTACCCGAGGCAGCAACGATGATTGGGAAGAAAGCATCAAGCTGGGTAAGTCGAGTTGATTTATGAGGCGCCTCAAAGGTCCAACGAGAGAAGCACGATTTTAACAGGTGTCAAGCGCAGCAGGAGTTGATCCAATTTTGATTTATCCAGGTTGGAGAAAGGGAGTGGAAGGGGAAGAAGAGTGTGGGGGTGGAGTGGGGTGGAGTTGGGGGGAGGGAGAGGGAAAGGGCGGCAGCAAGAGGTGAAGGAGCCATTTAGGCACGAATGTGGACGAAGGAATCAAAGGGTTTCGGGACAGAAGGAATTGAACGAGTAAGAAGAAACATTCAGAAGAACAATGGACTAGCATTGGCATGTGCATGTGCATGTGCATGTGCGAAAGACTGGATGTAAGTCCACATGTGAGTGCATTAAACACACTCCCCTCCATCCCTCCGCTCCGCATCCTCCTCCCAGCTTACTGCATCCTCTTCCTCTTCTACTATCCCCCCATCTCCCCAAGTTATTTCCCCCATCCCTTCTTAATCTCCCCCATGGAACACAACCCTCACCTCCTCTTCGCCCTCGTGCCAGTGCCTCCAAATGCTCTTCCCAGCCGACTGCCCTGCCGTTCTCCTTCCCCTCATTCTCCCCACATCCCACCCTACCTCACCCCCCATCCCCTCCCCAGATCTCACCTCCTCTTCTCGCTCATGCCAGTGCCTCCAAATGCTCCTCCCAGGGGACTGCTCCCCCCCTGCCCCTCCAAGCCCGCCTGCTAGCAACAGGTCATCTGCACTCACAGCAGCAGCACCATCGCTGCTGCCACTACCCCCCACTCTCTCAGTTATGCCTTCATATAATCTCACAGCAGCATCACCATCGCTGCTGCCACTACCCCCCACTCTCTCAGTTATGCCTTCATATAATCTCACAGCAGCATCAGCAGAACCAGCACCAGAAGCAGCAGCAGCAGCAGCAGCACCACCACCACTACCAGTACCAGAAGAAACAGCAACAGCACCAGCATCTGCAGCACCGTTAGCAGCAGTATCATCGGATTCCCTTGCACTGTCATCACCTCGTTTCACCGCATTCAATCCCTTTACACCATCAGATCCTCGTTCTATCTCGCTCCCCATTCCAAGTTCCTGCTGCTCCTTCTTCTCCTGCTGCTCCTTCTTCTCCTGCTGCTCCTTCTTCTCCTGCTGCTCCTTCTTCTCCTGCTGCTCCTGCTGCTCCTGCTGCTCCTGCTGCTTCTCTGTCTCCCATACTCCAAGTTCTACTGCATCTGTACCCCCCAGCTCTCCTCCCGGCCCCCCTTCCCATTTCCCATCTTCCTCCACCCCCAATTTCCCTTTCCCATCTCTCCCCGACCCCTCTTCGCTTTCCCCCTCTTCCCTCCCTCCCTCCTCGCGTGCCCTCACTTCCCCCGAACCCTCTTCATCCTTCAAATTCTCTCCCTGCCGTGTTACATTCTCAAAAGAATAATCACGACCCCTCTCCTCTTCCTTATCCTCCTCCTCCCTCACATTAACCACATCCCCCAAATCAGCAGCCACAGCCCCATGCTTGGGAGAATCAGCCACACCCTTATTCCCCGAAGTATCAGCCCCACCCCCACCGCCCACACTCTCAGGCCTACTCTCCTCTATGATTCTTCTTCCTCCTCCTCCTCTCCGTCCTGCCACCAACCCCCCTCGTACCCTTCTCCCTCCCTCCCCCCTCAGCACATCTCTCCCTCCCCCACCTGGTTTCCGCTGCTTCTTTCCAACCCGTAAAACTTTCGAATCCTGCCCGCACACCAGCGGCTTTCCAAGAACCAATGACAGGTCGGTGAAATTCACATCCGTCCGCCTCTCGGGCAGCACAAAAACTTCCGAACCACCCAACTTCGAATCCGCCCCTGAGAAACCCCGGCTCAAATCTGACCGGTTCTTCTGCCCCTCCTCCCCGCCACTGCCCCCCATTGCAACCAACAGCTCATTCCTATGGTGGAACAACGTGGGGTCTTTTTTACCCTCGGTAGCAAAACTAAGCATCTTTCTTAGCAGCCAGAAGCAGTCGCTTACTAGGTGACTGCTGTCCAAGCAATTAGAATCGCCAAACACCGCCACTTTCCCCTTCCCCCTCTCCACTAAACCCAGGACTGATGCCTCAACTTGACTCTTCATCCTCCCCCCTCTAGTCGAAACAATCGACCCGCCACTCCCCCCTCCTGCCACTCCCCCCCCTTCCCCTCCTCCCCCCTCTCCCCCTCCCCCTCCGCCCGCTTCCCCGCCCTCTCCCCCACCACTGCCCCCTCCCGACGACCCATCCCTGAAGAGGAACCGGTGAACGTAACCCCCTTTGGGGAACCTGCGAATATCGGTGCCCGAGGCAAAGTAAGCGCGATGGCCAGCGATGGAAAAGGTGCCGGAGAGAATGGCATCGCCGAATGCGATGCTGAAGGGAGCAAGGAGGTCGTTGAGGGCTGGCACGTTGGCACCCCCTGGGAGGATGGGGGGAGAGGAGGGGAGAGGAGCGTACAGAAGAGGAGAGAAGGAGGGGAAATGTTTGTAATGGAGGTTCATACGGTGGAAATCGTACAAACATTACAAACATCTCCCCTCGTATCGTACATACGAGAAGGAGGGTCATACGGTGGCCTGCGATGGAAAAGGTGCCGGAGAGGAAGGTACCCCCGGGGAGAAAAAGGTATCACCGAACGCGATTCCTCAATGAGAGAGGAGGTCCTTGAGAGCTGGGAACGGTGACGAGGAGGGAGGTTGGGTCCCCCTGCCCTGCGGAAATAGGGGGAGAAGGCAGAAGAGAATGGCGTGTGCTTCATCGTGGGCCCGTAACCAGCCCTAACATTCCGCTGCACGGATTCTGTTAGGGCTGGTTACGGGCTTTTTTTTGAGGCGCCTAAAAAACGACCTCGATTCTGTTAGGGCTGGTTACGGGCTTCATCGTACGCCCCCACACACCTGCTGCACCCGCACTGCACATCTGCGGTGCTGCTGCGTCCTTGCCCCTAGCAGTGCTCTCACTCACCTCCAAGCGTCCAGTCCACCAGGAGCGAGAGTTGTCATCAAAGAAGCATGCAGGGGCACACCCATTCAGACTAGAATTCCTCACAAGGGATGATGACACAGGCCCTAAATATTGATGGGAAGTGCAGTGCGCTGTCTCACCAGTAGCGGGCGTCCACCAGGAGCGAGTGTTGTCATCAAAGAAGCGCATGTGCTTCATGGTGGGCACGTGGTACCAGTCCCCCACCACTATGAGACCCAGCCCAAGTGCTGTGACATCGTGATGCAGCTTGGCTATCTGAGACGCACAGGGGGGGAGTGCACAGGGGAAGCAGATAGGAGAAGGACGGGGGGGGGTTTGGCGCATGTGCTTCATGGTGGGCATATCACGTGGTACCAGTTGCTCACCACTATGAGACCCAGGCCGAAAACAGTAACGTCGTGATGCAACTTGGCTATCTGAAACGCATAAGGGGGAAAAAGGGGGGCGGGTGGGGGGTGTGCAAGTGAATAGGGGAATGCAAGTGGGATGAGGCTTCATGGTGGGCATATCACGTGGTAGCAGTCGCCCACCACTATGAGACCCAGTCCCAGCGCTGTAACGTCGTGATGCAACTTGGCTATCTGAAACACATAAGGGGGAAAAAGGGGGGCGGGGAGGGCGTGGTACTAGTCGCCCACCACTATGAGACCCAGTCCCAGCGCTGTAACGCAATGATGCAACTTGGCTATCTGAAACACATAAGGGGGAAAAAGGGGGGCGGGGAGGGCGTGGTACTAGTCGCCCACCACTATGAGACCCAGTCCCAGCGCTGTAACGCAATGATGCAACTTGGCTATCTGCGACACACACAAGAGTGGGGGAGGGGAGCGCACAGAGGAAGGAGGGGAGAGGGTGGGAGGACTTGAGAAGAAAGAAGCGCATGTGCTTCATGGTGGGCACGTCACGTGGTACCAGTCCCCCACCAGTATGAGTCCCAGCCCTCGCACTGTAACGTAATGATGCAACTTGGCTATCTGTGACACACAGGGAGGAAGTGAGGGGCGAAGTGCAAGGAAGAAGAGGAGGGGACGAGCAGGGGAATGCAAGGGGGAGGGGAGATGAAGCGCATGTGCTTCATGGTGGGCACATCACGTGATAGCAGTCCCCCACCACTATGAGGCCCACCTCTCTCAGGTCTCTCTGACAAGAGTGTCTAGATCTTGTTCCTCTCACCTCCTCTGCATGGAATTCCACCATCAGCACCGCGCCATACTCCTCTGAACACCACACTACATCTGTCGGCCTTTTCTTCTCAGCTCCCAGCCCTGTCCAATCGAGCCCCACTTGAGTCGATTCAAAAGTCACCACACTACATCTGTCAGCCTTTTGTAGTGAGTCGAGTTTTGAGTCGACTCAAAACTCGACTCCCTCGGAACACCACATTACATCAGTCAGCCTTTTCTTCTCAGCTCCCAGCCCTGTGCTTCACTCATCCTCTCAATTCCTCACGAAAGCACGCCTTTATCTCACCTCCTCAGCGCGATACTCCTCCTCCATGTCCACCATCAGCACTGCGTCATACTCCCTCAACGGGACTACCTGCATGTCATCTCACCTCCCACATGTCATCTCACCTCCCACATGTCATCTCACCTCCCACATGTCATCTCACCTCCCACATGTCATCTCACCTCCCACATGTCATCTCACCTCCCACATGTCATCTTACCTCCCACATGTCATCTCACCTTCCACATGTCATCTCACCTCCCACATGTCATCTCACCTCCCACATGTCATCTCACCTCCCACATGTCATCTCACCTCCCACATGTCATCTCACCTCCCACATGTCATCTCACCTCCCACATGTCATCTCACCTCCCACATGTCATCTCACCTCCCACATGTCATCTCACCTCCCACATGTCATCTCACCTCCCACATGTCATCTCACCTCCCACATGTCATCTCACCTTCCACATGTCATCTCACCTCCCACATGTCATCTCACCTCCCACATGTCATCTCACCTTCCACATGTCATCTCACCTCCCACATGTCATCTCACCTCCCACATGTCATCTCACCTCCCACATGTCATCTCACCTCCCACATGTCATCTCACCTCCCACATGTCATCTCACCTCCCACATGTCATCTCACCTCCCACATGTCATCTCACCTCCCACATGTCATCTCACCTCCCACATGTCATCTCACCTCCCACATGTCATCTTACCTCCCACATGTCATCTCACCTTCCACATGTCATCTCACCTCCCACATGTCATCTCACCTCCCACATGTCATCTCACCTCCCACATGTCATCTCACCTCCCACATGTCATCTCACCTCCCACATGTCATCTCACCTCCCACATGTCATCTCACCTCCCACATGTCATCTCACCTTCCACATGTCATCTCACCTCCCACATGTCATCTCACCTCCCACATGTCATCTCACCTTCCACATGTCATCTCACCTCCCACATGTCATCTCACCTCCCACATGTCATCTCACCTCCCACATGTCATCTCACCTCCCACATGTCATCTCACCTCCCACATGTCATCTCACCTCCCACATGTCATCTCACCTCCCACATGTCATCTCACCTCCCACATGTCATCTCACCTCCCACATGTCATCTCACCTCCCACATGTCATCTCACCTCCCACATGTCATCTCACCTCCCACATGTCATCTCACCTCCACATGTCATCTCACCTCCCACATGTCATCTCACCTCCCACATGTCATCTCACCTCCCACATGTCATCTCACCTCCCACATGTCATCTCACCTCCCACATGTCATCTCACCTCCCACATGTCATCTCACCTCCGCCGCGTGATACTCCTCCTCCATATCCACCATCAGCAGAGCGCCATACTCGCGTGCATCAAAGCACGTCAGGGGCGACCCCAGCACCTCGAGCGTGAACCCCCAGTCTCTCAGAGCGGCAAACAGCCCGTGGAAGTTGGTGTGAGGGTGGTCGCCGTGCCAGTCCAGAATGTCGTTTCTCACATCCAGCGAGTCCCTATGGGGGTTTGATGAGAAAGGAGGAGTGATGTGAAGGCGTGAAGAGGGGAGAAAAATACAACAATCTTAGCACCTCGAGCGTGAACCCCCACTCCCTCAGAGCGGCAAACAGCCCGTGGAAGTTGGTGTGAGGGTGGTCGCCGTGCCAGTCCAGAATGTCGTTTCTCACATCCAACAATTCCCTATGGGGGTTTGATGAGAAAGGAGGAGTGATGTGAAGGCGTGAAGAGGGGAGAAAAATACAACAATCTTAGCACCTCGAGCGTGAACCCCCACTCCCTCAGAGCGGCAAACAGCCCGTGGAAGTTGGTGTGAGGGTGGTCGCCGTGCCAGTCCAGAATGTCGTTTCTCACATCCAGCGAGTCCCTATGGGGGTTTGATGAGAAAGGAGGAGTGATGTGAAGGCGTGAAGAGGGGAGAAAAATACAACAATCTTAGCACCTCGAGCGTGAACCCCCACTCCCTCAGAGCGGCAAACAGCCCGTGGAAGTTGGTGTGAGGGTGGTCGCCGTGCCAGTTCAGAATGTCGTTTCTCACATCCAGCGAGTCCCTATGGGGGTTTGATGAGAAAGGAGGAGTGATGTGAAGGCGTGAAGAGGGGAGAAAAATACAACAATCTTAGCACCTCGAGCGTGAACCCCCACTCCCTCAGAGCGGCAAACAGCCCGTGGAAGTTGGTGTGAGGGTGGTCGCCGTGCCAGTCCAGAATGTCGTTTCTCACATCCAGCGAGTCCCTATGGGGGTTTGATGAGAAAGGAGGAGTGATGTGAAGGCGTGAAGAGGGGAGAAAAATACAACAATCTTAGCACCTCGAGCGTGAACCCCCAGTCTCTCAGAGCGGCAAACAGCCCGTGGAAGTTGGTGTGAGGGTGGTCGCCGTGCCAGTCCAGAATGTCGTTTCTCACGTCGAGGGAGTCCCTATGGGGAGCGAAGGAATGGCAGAGGGGAGAGAGTCAGAGAGTGGGAAGGAGGAGAAGAGATGGTGTGGAAGTGGGTGTGGGGGTGGTCGCCGTGCCAGTCCAGAATGTCATTCCGCACGTCCAGAGAGTCACTGGTGGGGGGTTAGTAGAACAAGCAGCCCAGTGGTTTGATTTTTTCTTTTGATAATTCTCAAAAGTAAAATTCACATAGTCTCTGGTGGGGGGTTAGTAGAACAAGCAGCCCAGTGGTGTGAATTTTACTTTTGAGAATTCGCCTCGCCGTGCCAGTCCAGAATGTCATTCCGCACGTCCAGAGAGTCACTGCAGAGTGGGGAAACGGACCCAGGAGGTGCGAGTCGTGATAATGCCATGGACATGCATGGACTGATAATGCCATGGACATGCATGGACTGATAATGCCATGGACATGCATGAACTGATAATGCCATGGACATGCTTGGACTGAAAATGCCATGGACATGCATGGAGTAATGCCATGGACGGGAACAGAACAGCCAGATTCAAGAGACTCCAGTTGCACGTTGTGAAACTAGTCCCACAGCACACGGCAGTGGCGGGGGGGGGGTGTGGGGGGGGGGGGTGTAAGGGCATGATGGTGCAACATTCACACTCACTTGCACATGCACATGCACATGCACATGCACATGCACAGATACAGATGCACATACACACCAAGGGAACACATCAGGGCACGCACCTGGGGATGTAGCCAGGAGGGTACCACACGTTGTGAAACTGGTCCCACAGCACACGGCGGTGGCGGGGAGGTGTGCGCATAAGAGTGGCAGGCACAGCTACGGCCTGAGGATAAAGCACACTGCACACACATGCGCTCACCTGGGGATGTAGCCAGGAGGGTAGCGCACGTTGTGAAACTGGTCCCAGACAACGTGGCGTTGAGAGCATGGTGTGGGCAACGGGCATGCGAGTGGCAAGCACAGCTACAGTCGGAGGGGATAACACACACATGCGCTCACCTGGGGATGTAGCCAGGAGGGTAGCGCACGTTGTGAAACTGGTCCCAGACAACGTGGCGTTGAGAGCATGGTGTGCGCAACGGGCATGCGAGTGGCAAGCACAGCTACAGTCGGAGGGGATAACACACAAATGCGCTCACCTGGGGATGTAGCCAGGAGGGTAGCGCACGTTGTGAAACTGGTCCCACAGCACACGGCGGTGGCGGGGAGGTGTCAGCATGATGGCAACGCGGAGAGGTAGTGAACAGTTGGTGGTGCGAGGGGCGGATTCGTTGGGGCCGGGGGGAGAGACGACCGTGAAGTGAATGGCGCCCGCTATGGTGCCTGGCTTGGGGAAGCGGGGGGGGGGGGAGATGGGAGCACAAGGGCATGATGGCAACACGGAGGTGCAGCGAGCAGTTGGTGGCGCGGGGGGCGGATTCGTTGGGGCCGGGAGGAGAGACGACCGTGAAGTGAATGGCGCCCGCTATGGTGCCTGTGTTGAGAGGGGGACAGGGTGGGGGGGGGAGAAGCCTGTTGAAGGGGAAGAGGTGGGGGAAGCAGAGGGGCAACGCGGAGGGGCAGCGAGCAGTTGGTGGTGCGCGGGGAGGATTCGTTGGGGCCGGGGGGAGAGACGACAGTGAAGTGGATGGCTCCTGCTATGGTGCCTGGCTTGGGTGATGGGGGGGGATGGGGAGGGGGAGGTGGAGCGGTGGGAGGATGGGGAGAGGGGAGCACGTTGGAAGCAGTTGGTGGTGCGAGGGGAGGATTCGTTGGGGCCGGGGGGACAGACGACCGTGAAGTGGATGGCTCCTGCTATGGTGCCTGGCTTGGGTGATGGGGGGGGATGGGGAGGGGGAGGTGGAGCGGTGGGAGGATGGGGAGAGGGGAGCACGTTGGAAGCAGTTGGTGGTGCGAGGGGAGGATTCGTTGGGGCCGGGGGGACAGACGACCGTGAAGTGGATGGCTCCTGCTATGGTGCCTGGCTTGGGTGATGGGGGGGGATGGGGAGGGGGAGGTGGAGCGGTGGGAGGATGGGGAGAAGGGAGCACGTTGGAAGCAGTTGGTGGTGTGAGGGGAGGATTCGTTAGGGCCGGGGGGACAGACGACCGTGAAGTGGATGGCTCCTGCTATGGTGCCTGGCTTGGGTGATGGGGGGGGATGGGGAGGGGGAGGTGGAGCGGTGGGAGGATGGGGAGAGGGGAGCACGTTGGAAGCAGTTGGTGGTGCGAGGGGAGGATTCGTTGGGACCGGGGGGACAGACGACCGTGAAGTGGATGGCTCCTGCTATGGTGCCTGGCTTGGGAAGGAGGGGGTGAAGAGGAGGAAGCGGAGAGAGGGGAGTGAGTGACGAGGGGGACATTGCGGGGGATAAAAGAAAGTGAAGTGGATAGTGCCCGCTACGGTGCCTGCTACGGTGCCTGCTACGGTGACTGGCTTGGGGGAACAGAAAGGGGCGGAAGAAGGATGGGGAGGCGAGAGGACGTTGATGGAGAAGGGGGAGTATGGTGGGACAAGAGAGGGGAAGGAGCGGAATGCGGGAGGAAGGCTCACCATTGAGTAAACATGCAAGGTTGAAGTGCTATAAGGCGCGTGGACTGAATCTGTTTTTTGAGAGAAAAAAAAAAAAAAACAGAAAAGGCGAGAGGATTGCCACACCTTTCCTCATCCGCGTTCCCCATACGTGAAGTGAGGGTGTTTTTGAGACGTCTCATATATTCACTGCTGCCATTCCCGTCATCTCCTCTCCCCATGGAATTGCGCTTCATCCTGTCCCTTCACCCTTCCCATCCCATTCCCCCGCTCACCATTGAGGTGCCTTGCACCGGGATGCACTCTCAGGTAGATCCCCAAATTGCCAGACCACGGCCAGACAGAGCACCGCCGGGTAGGAGAAGCCTTGAGAGGCGAGTGTTTTTCCACACATCCCTACCTCCACTGCCCCAAGCCCATTGGTCACTCACCATTGAGATGCCTTGCACCCGGATGCACTCTCAGGTAGATCCCCAGGTTGCCAGACCACGGCCAGAGCACCGCGGGGTAGGAGAAGCGCACATGCAGCACCCGGTGGGGCGGCGGAGCGGCGGACGAGGAGGAATTCGAGGCCGCAGCATTCACAAAGCCGCCATTGGCACCTGCAGCTTCAGCTGCAGCTGCTGCTGCAGCTGCGCTTGACAGGTTACCCTCTGCAGCAGTGCTGGTGAGATCGACCTCTGTGGGAACCCACACAGGCGGGGCAGCGAGCCAGCCGGTGACGCCCATGCCGTTGAGGACAGTGACATTGATGATGAGGGGGAGGGCAGAGGCGAAGAGCGGCTGGCGGCACCACGGCCACGCGTAGGGGCAGTCTGTTAAGTCGAGGGTGGAAGGGTGGACGGATGCCCGGGGCGTGTAACTCGCCAGAATGGCGTGGGATCGCAGGCTGGTGGGGTGGGGGACGGGGGAGGGGAGGGGTGGGGGGCAGGGGGGGGTGAGAGGGGAGAGGAAGGGGGGAGGGGAAGATTGACCTCTGAGAGAACCCAACCCACAGAGGCGGGGCAGCGAGCCAGCCCGTGACGCCCATGCCGTTAAGCACGGTGACGTTGATGATGAGGGGGAGGGCGGAGGCGAAGAGTGGCTGGCGGCACCACGGCCACGCGTAAGGGCAGTCTGTGAGGTCGAGGGTGGAAGGGTGGACGGATGCCCGGGGGGTGTAACTCGCCAGAATGGCGTGGGATCGCAGGCTGGAATGAAGGGGGAGGGGAAGGGTGAGAAGAGAGGAAGGAGAAAGCATTGAGAGTAGAAGAAGGGCTGGCGGCGCCACGGCCACGCGTAGGGGCAGTCTGTGAGATCAAGAGAAGATGGGTGCACAGATGCCGGGGGGTGTAGCTCGCTAGAATGGCGTGGGATCGCAGACTGTGAGGGGGAGGAAGTGGGGAGGGAGAGTGGGAAGAAAGGGGTGAGGGAAAGGGGAGGGCGGGTGAAAGCAGGGAACAGGAGGAGCAGGAACACAGGTTGGCCTCGAGGTGTTCAGGGGACACCAGGCACCAGGGCCACGTGTGGGGGCTCTCTGTGTGAGGTCGAGTGCAGATGGGTGGGGTGGACCAATGCTCGGAGCATGTAACTCGCTCGAATGGCCCGCCCTCTGCTAGAATGGCCCGCCCTCTGCTAGAATGGCCCGCCCTCTGCTCAAACAGATGCGGCCCGTTCAGTTCAGCCTATCAGCTCCTTCAACCAAAGCCAGCTTCGTGCTCGCCGGCTTTGGTTGAAGTTCAGTTCAGTTCAGAACGCTGCCAGCAACAACATACCAGGCTTTCGAGACGTTTCCAAAGCACACAAAACAAGACGAAATGGTTTACACTCACAGGTTGAGTTGCCCAGACCCCTGCTCGAACATATGCGGCCCGTTCAGCCTGTCTGCTCCTTCGACCGACGCCTGCTTCATACTCGCTGGGTTCAGCACACACGACTGACTGACGTTTCCATAGCACACAAGGCACACAAGACAGTTAGTCTTGTCTTGTGTAACTATTTCACACTCACAGATTTAATTGCCCAGACCCCTGCTCGAACATATGCGGCCCATTCAGCCTGTCTGCTCCTTCGACCAAGGCCTGCTTCATACTCGCTGGGTTCAGCACCCCTCCCGGCCCCCACCGCACGGCTTCCGGCACAACGCTCGCTAGCAGACAAACCGCGCCGGCCACCACTGGGCTCGCGACGGACGTCCCTGATAGGCTCTTGCACCCGCCGTTGATCTTCGAGCCGACCACCTCCCGCCCGTAGGCGACTATGTCCGGCTTCATTCGTCCGTATCTGAGAGGGGTGGAAAGGGTGGGCGGCAGAGCGTGGGAAAGTTGGCGGCTGTTGGCAGGTGGGCAGGGAGGGGTGCTTGCGAGATAGAGGGGTTTAGAGCGGTGAGCAGGTGGCAGGGATAAGTGGCTCCTTCTAAACCCCCATTCCCACCTCTCACATACCCCCCCTCACCTTCCCCACTCCACCCGCCCCCCCACCCCCATTTTCCTTACCCCCCACACCCTCCTCTTACCCATGAGGCAGCTCCCATGTGGCCATGCCACAAGAGGAGAACGACGCAATATGCAGGGTGTAGTCGATGCCCACCACCCCGATCTCACATCGTTCTGTCTCACCCCATACCTGTGTATTAACCGGAAATGAATATCTCACAGCAACAACATACCCGTGTGGCAGCTCAGCTCCCACGTGGTCATGCCATGGGAGGAAAACGACGCGATGTGCAGAGTGTTGTCAATGCCGCCCATTCCAACTGAACTCAGCACCACACTCCCTTCAACCCCACTCCCCACTCTGCCTTCTATCTCTCCCTCATACCCGTGTGGCAGCTCCCATGTGGTCATCCCACGGGAAGAAAACGACGCAATGTGCAGAGTGTAGTCGATGCCGCCCACTCCAATCACATCGTTCTGGTCCGCAGGGTTGTTGAGAGTGCCATAGAGGGGCCCGTCGTTGCCGATAGCCGATACCATCAGAATGCCATTGCCTGTCACCTCCCACACCTGGGGGGAAGTGAGGGAGGAGAGGAGCAGGATAGGCCAGCAGGAGCAAAGGGGGAATGGCGTTCTGGTCTGCGGGGTTGTTGAGTCGAGTGTGCTGTAGAGGGGCCCGTCGTTGTCGATGGCTGACTGACACCATCAAAATGCCGTTACTTGTTACCTCCCAAAGCGCGGTGGGGAGGGGAGGAAAAAATAGTGGGGCCAGAGGGGAGAGGGGAAGGGGGAGGAGGAAAAACGGAGCAGGAAATGGGGAGAAGGGAGGATGGTGGGGGTGGAGAGCAGACAAACGCACTGCTTGCAATGTGGCGTGTAGGGTGGGTCGACTCTAGCGTGCCTTCTCGCCTCCATGCTCCCGAACCCTCCGCCACCCTCCTGATCCCTCCTGATCCCTCTCCACCCCTCTCCACCCCTCTCCACCCCTCTCCACCCCACCCAACCCAGTCCCCACCACATTCTCCAAAAACGGCCTGTCCAGGTAGTCAGGGCCCCCCATGCTCCCATTCCTTTGCACACCTTTTCACCCCTCCTCACCCCTCCCCACCCCTCGTAACCCCTCCCCACCCCTCCTCCACAAGCAGCCGGTCGAGGTGGTGCGCCACCCCCGCTGCTCCCTTCTCTCTCCAAGTCCCCCGCCCCTCTGCAACCCTCCCCTCTACTCCCTACCCCTCTCCAACCCTCTCCAATCCCCCCTACCCAAGACCCCACCTTCTCCACAAAGGGCCGGTCGAGGTAGTCAGGCCCCCCAATGCTGAGGTTGAGCACGTTCATGCGCGTGAGGATGGCGTAGTTGAAGGCGTCTAGGAACCAGGACGTGTAGGACACCTGTGAAGGTGGCAGTGGGGGTTGAAGTGGGGGGACAGGGGGAGGTACCGGCCCAGGACTAAGGTTGAGCACGTTCATGCGCGTGAGGATGGCGTAGTTGAAGGCGTCTAGGAACCAGGACGTGTAGGACACCTGTGAAGGTGGCAGTGGGGGTTGAAGTGGGGGGACAGGGGGAGGTACCGGCCCAGGACTAAGGTTGAGCACGTTCATGCGCGTGAGGATGGCGTAGTTGAAGGCGTCTAGGAACCAGGACGTGTAGGACACCTGTGAAGGTGGCAGTGGGGGTTGAAGTGGGGGGACAGGGGGAGGTACCGGCCCAGGACTAAGGTTGAGCACGTTCATGCGCGTGAGGATGGCGTAGTTGAAGGCGTCTAGGAACCAGGACGTGTAGGACACCTGTGAAGGTGGCAGTGGGGGTTGAAGTGGGGGGACAGGGGGAGGTACCGGCCCAGGACTAAGGTTGAGCACGTTCATGCGCGTGAGGATGGCGTAGTTGAAGGCGTCTAGGAACCAGGACGTGTAGGACACCTGTGAAGGTGGCAGTGGGGGTTGAAGTGGGGGGACAGGGGGAGGTACCGGCCCAGGACTAAGGTTGAGCACGTTCATGCGCGTGAGGATGGCGTAGTTGAAGGCGTCTAGGAACCAGGACGTGTACGAGACCTGTGAAATGGGGAAGGGATGGGGAGGGAGGGGGGAGGAAGGGATGAGAGGCAGGGAGGAGGGAGATTCACGAGCCTGGGTTTGAGCACGTTCATGCGCGTGAGAATGGCATAGTTGAAGGCGTCTAGGAACCAGGAGGTGTAGGACACCTGGTGCGTGTGGGGGGATGGGGGCGAAGGAGGAGAGGTAGTCAGGCTCCCCGATGCTGAGATTCAGCACGTTCATGCGCGTGAGAATGGCGTAGTTGAACGCGTCTAGGAACCATGACGTGTAGGAGACCTGTGAAAGGAGGGAAAGGGGGGGGGGGAGAGAGAGGAAGGGATGGAGGAGGTTAGCAGCTTCAGGCCCCCCGATGTTGAGATTGAGCACGTTCATGCGCGTGAGGAGGCATAGTTGCACGCGTCTAGGAACCAACCAGCCAACCCTACAACCACCCAACCACTTTGAATGGTCACAAAGTGGCTGCTAGTGGCAGTGAAGGGGGGTGGGACGATAGTGGCAGTGAAGGGGGGTGGGACGATAGTGGCAGTGAAGGGACGAGATAATGCCTCTCCTGACATGGGGATAGCGATGCAAACATGTCGAAGTCTAGGAATTTCAATTCAACCACCCCAGCTCACCTGAGCGTTGGTGAAGACCCGAAAGGCGTAAATCTCAGCGTCGGGGGCGAACCCGCGGCAGTGCGATGCGTGGCTGGCAATCACTCACCCCTGCCCGCTTGAGATGTCTCTTGCAAGCTTGGCCTCACCTGAGCGTTGGTGAAGACTCGGAAGGCGTAAATCTCAGCGTCGGGGGCGAACCCGCGGCAGTGCGATGCGTGGCTGGCAATCACTCACCCCTGCCCGCTTGAGATGTCTCTTGCAAGCTTGGCCTCACCTGAGCGTTGGTGAAGACTCGGAAGGCGTAGATCTCAGCGTCGGGGGCAAACCCGCGGCAGTGCGATGCGTGGCTGGCAATCACTCACCCCTGCCCGCTTGAGATGTCTCTTGCAAGCTTGGCCTCACCTGTGCGTTGGTGAAGACCCGAAAGGCGTAGATCTCAGCGTCGGGGGCGAACCCACGGCAGTGCGAGTCACTGCTGGCAATCACCCCTGCCACGAACGTGCCGTCTCTCACCCAACCAAAGAAGATACTAGCAGAGCGCACTCAGGCACGCCCCAACTGACCTGAGCGTTGGTGAAGACCCGAAAGGCGTAGATCTCAGCATCGGGGGCGAACCCACGGCAGTGCGAGTCGTGGCTGGCGATCACCCCCGCCACGAACGTGCCGTGGCCCAGGCTGTCGTTTAGCGTGTCCTCATTCGTCCAGTTGGTGCGCTCCTGGTGGAATACGGGAGGAGTAAGGGAGGAATAAAGGGCAATGATTGGCAGCACATTGAACATGGCGTAACCCAAGCTGTCGTTTGGTGTGTCCTCATTGGTCCAGTTAGTGTGCTCCTGGTGAGGGTTCGTGGGGATGGGTGGGTGGGTGGAAGGGTGGGAGTAACTAACTGGCTGAAATCGCGGCTGGCAATCACCCCCGGCACGAACGTGCCGTAGCCCAGGCTGTCATTGAGCGTGTCCTCATTGGTCCAATTGAGCGCTCCTAGGAGGGTGGAACGAAGCCAGAATGAAAGAATTGGATGATTGAATGGGGGGACTGAATGACAGAAGGGTGAACAAGGGACACTCATGCATCGTTTTCACCTTGATATTACGGAAGTGGAGGTGGTGTTGATGACTTTACTCTCTCATCAATATTTCAAGATAGGGCTGCTCTAATGACGTACTTCTCACCTTGATATTGCGGAAGTGGGGGTGGTCTGCTCGAATGCCCGTGTCAAAAACAGCCATCTTAACATTTGCCCCACTGAAGCCCTTGGCCCACAGCCGTTCCGCATGAAACAGAGACGTGATTTGAGATTTGTGCGCCTGTAGTGGGAAAGGAGAATGGAAGTTAGCAAACATGTGAGGTCAACACGAGCCCCAGTGAAGCCCTTGGCCCACAGCCTCTCCGCGTGGAAGAGAGACGTGATCTGAGACTTGTACCCTGGCATAGGAAGGGCTGCAGAGCGGTGAGAGAAGGGATGGAAATAATCACCAAATCATCCAACACGAGCCCCTAAAGCCCTTGGCCTTTCAGCATGGAACAAAGACAAGACTTGGGACCTACCTTCCTCAAGTCCCTCCTGCCTCTAAATCCCAGGCTGCATCAGTTCCCACCTGCATCATTTCCCACCTGCATCAGTTCCCATCTGCATCAGTTCCCACCTGCATCAGTTCCCACCTGCCTCAGTTCCCACCTGCCTCAGTTCCCACCTGCCTCAGTTCCCACCTGCATCAGTTCCCACCTGCCTCAGTTCCCACCTGCCTCAGTTCGCATCTGCAAAAATCCCACCTGCATCAGGTGTCGGCGGTTGACAGCAGCAGCCGACACATTCCAGGCCCTACTGAGAAACGACCCAGCAGCAGATAAATCACTTTGAAGAATCCCATGCTTTCCCTCAAAGGACTCTTCCAACTGCCTCATCTGCCACTTTCGCCTCTTTTGCCTGTTCCTCCTCCTCCTTTCCTCCATCCTCCTTTCCTCCATCCCTCCCTTCTTCCTTCTCCTTGATCGTCCCTCGCTTGCACCCACCACTTCCCCTCCCTCTTCACCGCTCTCCACCCATCTCAACTCCCTCGCACCCACACGCATCCTATCCTCTTCATCCTCCCCGTCCTCCTTTCGCCTGCCCCTCTTCCCCTCGCCCCCAAACCCAAAACCCTGAACCCTCCCAGTCAAACCCCTAGACCCTCCCGCTCGTCCCTCTGGGATCTCCCCCTCCTCGAATGACATTCTCGTTCGGAGCCTTCCAGGAGGTTTCCTCACCGGACCCCTCACATCCCACCCACCCCCTTCCTCCTCCTCCCCCCACCCTTCAAGCCATGGGTCCTGTTCAGCCTTATCTGTCTCTCCTCCTGCAATGCCTGCCCCACTCCCTCTATTTATTCCTCTCTCTCCTCCTCTCTGCTTTTCTCCCTCTCCTCCTCTCCTCCTTTCGTTTTCAGCACCTTTTCTCTCTCCCCCTTCCCTCTCCCCCTCACTGTACATCAGTGAACGAGTGTACTTCATCTGACGGTGCACATCCTTCACAAACGGAACGGCCTCAATCCGGTGCTTCAGATCCTCCCACCCATTGCCCCCTGTCCCCCTCCCCCCGTCCTCCTCTTCCGTCTCAGCTCCCTCAACCAGCAAAATTCCAAAATCCGTTGGAAAGGCCATGGCTGGATTCGTCCTTTCTACCCAATGCCATCTGGCTGCACCCGATTGGCCAATCCCTGACTGACTGCCAGAGCTTCCTGATCTGCCAAAGCCTCCAGATTGGCTGGCGTCCGGATTTTGGGGAGATTCTAGAGCGTCTAACAGCCGTTGCCGATGCACCTCCACAGGTTCGTATGAAGTGAACCGGACTATCCACTCGTCTAGCACAGGCTCCAAGCGAACTTCCCCAGCCTGAGCCTCGGAAGCCTTTTTGCCGAGGCTCGATGCACCTTCCCGAGCCTGTTCTCCTGCCTTAAGAACCTTCTCTGCTGTACTGCAAGCTTCAGCCTGAGATGGGCGAATTGGAACGGATTCCGTCTGATTGATGCCTCTTTCTGTCCCTCCCTTCCTCTCTGCCTGCTCGTCTTGCCATCCCTCCGTCCAAATCTCTAACTCCAACCCTGTTCCCTGCTCCAATCCCGAACCTGACTCCGACCATCTTCCCGAACCTATCCCTGAACAGCGTTCGCCCTGCACAGGAATCTGGTCATGATCATCCGCCTTATAAGCTGTCACAAGAGGCTCTTTCCAGGTCGAGCATGCACGCGTATCGGAACAATTCCTTTCCGCTGCACAACCTGCAGCATCCAACCAGCTCCTGGCGCCGCACTGACAGACAGACACGTGCTTTTCAGCGAGGCTTGCAAAGCAAGCAAGGCTTTCATGATCCATTTCTTTTTTTGCTGCGTCTGGTGCTGCTTCGGGATGATCACCAGATATTCTGCTCTTGCAACACCTGCTGCTGCTGACGCTGCGAATGCTGATGCTGTTGCTGCAGTTGCGTATTCTTTGCAAAAGTGAGCTCAAGGGAACAATGCAGCTGCTATCCAGGTGGATAACCGTCGTTCCTGCGACCACTCGTATCGCCAACGACGTGATTGTTGCGAAGATTAAACCTAGGGTGCATAGACTTTCGTGGCTCGGCGAAGCGCCACGTGGCAGCAACGTGCCTTCACGTGCTGGCCACGCGGAGCGAGCCATCAAGGCAACGCACCTTGTCCGGAATCAGAGCATTCCTCTCAGGATCAACTAGAGTTTGGAGAATCAGAAATGAGAAAGTCTTCTTCACCAGCGAGTACTCCCTGAGGACACGACAATTAGGAATGTTTCTTCTGCACGATGACTACGTCCTTCTTGACGGAATAAGTCATTATTGGAGAGATTTCAGCCCATTTCCGTCGTCCTCTAAGAAGCCAACCGCGACAGCGAACGCCGCTAGCAAGCAAAGAACTAACGAAAGACCAGGTAGGCACTCGACGACCTTCTTATGAAATGATCAGGCGGTTTGTGATGATCAGTTGCATGCACTGAAAAGTGATAAATTTTTACGCAAACACCGTCGTGAAACGTACAGAAACGTATTGTGCCGTGTTAAACGAATTTACGGAACGAACAGGTCCGCCAACCGGGAGGGCGGGATAAGCAGGCATAGGGGGGAAGTCACGCACAAGCCGTGCGGAGTTTTCTAGGCCCAGGCGCTGTATGATGTGCGGATGGGTGCTGTCAGACCAGGTTCGGCAAATTCGAGGGAAATTTGAGGCCCAGGCGAAGTATAATGTGTAACGCTGTGCGTTTCGCACAACATGACTAGGACCCAAATTCGAGTACGGCAGGATCTCGAAGTTCCAATCAACTATTATCTAGTCAGTTCATATTAATTTCATTCATTTACAAAGAAAATGAATTTGAACAAGCTGCTCTTGCTGGGCACTTGAGCGCACAGGAAACCTCAAATCACAAAATATGCACACAGAAGGGCACACAAGGGAACACATCAACGAAGGAACAAAACTCCCAAGGAAACCCAAACATTTCAACAAAATTGCATCCTTCACAAAAGCTGGATAGGATGGAAGGTGCCTTCACAACGGCTAGGCGAGTGGGGAAAGTGGTTCCGCTGCTGCCTGCAGCACCGGGATCTTGAGGCGCCTCAAGTGGAAAAAACAAACCTTTTGCTGCTCAACACAGCACTGGGCAAAGTTAGAAATGCCCCTCCGTATACGTTGCACATGTCAGCAGAGCTGACTCACACAGAAACCGCTGCTCCAGCCACTCCCACCACCAGCAGCAACCAGCATCAACATCAGCATCAGCAGCTGCTGCTGCTGCTGCTGCTCCTAGTGGTAACCAGCGTCATCAGCAGTAACCGTGCTGCCTGTACGCTCTCTCCTCTGCCAATCTCCGCATCTCCAACCCAATCTGGCTCACGTGACTCACACCACTCCGCATCACCATGCCACGCCCTTGGCTCACATGCTCTGCTGTCATCGCCGCACCCGACGCCCCTCCTTCCACAGCCTCATGGCCGAATCCTGTAACCGCGCTCGGCTTCTTGCCGTATGCGGTAACCGCGCTCCTCTTCTCGGTTGCCGCAAACGGGTTACCAGGCACAGCGCAGGGGATAGTAGTGGCAGGCGGTGCAGGGAACATGGCAGGCACAGGGCGTGCTGCATTGAGAGGCAGGAAAACCGGCCGTGAGACGGCAACGGAGGGTTGCTGACGATGCTGCTGATGGGTCTGGTGATGCAGCTGGTGATGGGGTTGTTGATGGGGTTGCTGCTGATGCACCTCCTGTCCTCGCCGGCCGAACACAGCTTGCTGCTGCGATGTGGGAAGCCTAAACAGATCAGCAGAATTGTCAGCAGCAGCAGCCGCAGCCACCTGGCTGGCTCCCGAACCTCCAGCCAGCTGCGTGCTGCTCCCGGACCTTGGAATCTGGTTCGTGGTCCTCCGGTACGGGCCAGCCCACTTGGTCCGGAGATACTCGGCCCGGCGCCAGGGCGGCAGGTGCAGGCCCTGCTCCCTCAGACTCTGCCTTGTGGCATCTGCCAGCACTTCAGTGATCTTGAGCAGGCGGTTGAGACGGCCGACGAAGATGATGGGGGCGGAGTGGACGACGGCGTCAAAGGCGAAGGTGGGGCGTGCGATTTGGAACTGCGCGCGGAACTCAATGTCTACGATGATTCGGTCGGATGGCGAGAACGGAGACGGGTTGGCAGCGGTGGCGGCGGTGGCGGTGGTGCTGGCAGAAGCGCTGGTGTTGGTGTTGTTGACCGTGCTGCAGCTGCTGGTGGTGGTGCTGTTGTTGCCATGGCACGGCAGAATGACGTCTATGTACTCGTAAGTGCCGCCAGGGAGGCCCTTGGAGTGCTCCCACCGTGCCTTGCACACTGCAGCATCGTACCCTTTAGACCGAAGCTGGCACATCACCGCCCGCCTCAGATTGCCGTTGCTGCTGCTGCTGCTGCTGGTGGCGGCACTGCTGCCGTTACCGCTTCCGCCTGCAGCATTTGAGGAGGAAGCTTCCTTCTTGGCGGTTTTTAGGGCGGCGATGACGTCAGCGAACAGCTGGCACTCGTCCGCGGAGGTGCAGGCGCTGAGGGACTGGGGGAGAGAAAGGGGGAGGAGCGCAAAGGGGGAAGGGCGGAGAAAAAAGGGGACGGGCGCGGGTGAGTCGAGCATTCCACGGTCGACAGGGAGGATAACAGCAGGTACATAAAATCATTCTCATTGGCCATCCCCATCCCCATTCCGCCTTCCCCTCTTCCCCCTATCCTCTCTCACCCTCACCTCAATGAGGCTCGAGACGTCCCCCATTCCGCACCACCCGCCGCTCTCGCCCATCCGCGGAGCCTGCGCGTCCTGCTCCGCTATGCGCGCGTACATTGCATCCGCGTTATAGCCACCCTCGCTGCCGTGAATCGCGTCAAGGAGACGGTGGTCGAGAGTGTGGCTCTCCGCCGAGCCGGTCTCCATGAAATCGGAAACCATTTCCGCCAAACACACGGACGACGGGTCGTGCGCGCTACCGGAACTGCACAGGGGAAGGAGCGGGGGAGGGGGAGGGGGAAAGGGGGAATGGGAGGGTAGGGGGGAAAGGAACGGAAACGGGTAAGCCAGCGTTCGAAGAGACAAAATAGGGTAATAACCATGGGAGCAGGGGCAGGCGGGGGGAACGGGGAGGAGAGGAGTGATAACAGAAACATCATTGCAAACCTAAATCCTTCGAAACACACCTGTTACTGTCGTAGCTGCCATCGCTCTTGGCGCCGTGACTTGCGGCGGTCTTCCCATGACTGCCCATCGGCCATGCCCCGTGAATTAAATGCAGCCCTCGGGTGCTGCCGCTGTTCGCCGCAGTCACCGCCGCAGTTGCCGCTGAGCTCTCCCCCGCCTTTGCCGCAGCAGACTTTTCCGCTGCCGGGCCGCTGACTGCTGTAATTTGCGCTGCGAGAAGCGTGCTGCTAGCGCAGCCGCGGCTCCGTTCGCCGGAACTAGCGCCGACAGCTGCGGTGCGAAGGATTTGCTGCAGCGCGCCAATTCCAGCGAGCGGAAGACGCGGCGGGTTGAGCGGCGAGATCGACGGCTGGTTGAACAGCAGCGATTTCACCGCGGGGGACGCGGGTGTCTGATGCGGCAACACCGGAGCGGGAATCGCGCCGGCGATTGCGGAGAGCTCCGCCGTCAACACCAGGTCGGTCGGTTTTGCCGCGACATGGTGGTCAACGGCAAACGACAGGTACTCCTGCTTGCTGAAGAAGTTTCCAGCGGCAGATGCGGCGGAAGATGCGGCGGGAGCGGTTCGAAAGTTACTGCTAGCGGTAGCGGGCCCGTGAGCGGGCCAGATGTTAAAGATTCCAGGCATTCTGCGTGTCTCCTGCGAGCTTCCGCCGCGTTCGGTGCGTGGGTGGCGCGTTAGAGACGGGCGGCATGCAATCAGAATCAGTCGACGGGGTCTAAGACGTTCTCAGACGTGACTGGTGTCTGGGCGAATTGAACAATCTGTCGCCGTAGGACAGGCTATTGAGAGCGAGGAGAGATCGCGAGGGAAATCGCGAAAGAGCGAGAGACGCGAGAAGAGGACGCCTCGCGAGACGAGTGACTGATGTCTGTGGTATGAGGTTCGAGGTATGGCCCCTTATGTACGACTCATACAACTCTGCCTTATGCTGGTCAGTCAATAGCAGGCAAGGCAAGCGTAAGTGGCGACCGTCGAAATTCCGTCGGGAAACGGAAGCAATTCGATGTGAGCGACAGAGACGGCTAAGTTCCGACGCGAGACCAGGAGGACCAGATAGCAGATGCAGAATGATGAGCAGACAGCAGAGTGAGCAAAGGGAGAGGAATGGCTGGGAGGTCGAGAAGGTGTGAAATGTGCGGAAATCAAGGAACAATGGAGTGATTCTGCCGCGCGATTGGCTCTGGAAGTATGCCTATTCGTGTCGAGGTAAGCTGACCAGCTTCAATGTCGCGTGGGGTCTCGGTTCGGTTCGGTGTCACATGGGTGGGGGAGGGAGGGAGGGGAACGTTGTCGCGGAGGGAAGGATACTGTGGAAGTGGATGATGAGAGGGGAACGATCTCGTCTCGAGTCACCTAGCGTTTCTCGAGGAGGAGCGGGGAGCGGAGCTGCTGCGGAGAAATGGAGTAATGGAGGCAGGCAGGGAGCAGGAACGAGAGGAGATGACCAGTGGAGCACGGAAGCAATTTTCTGGAGAGGTGCGGATTGTGTTATGCGGAGGTGTGTGGTGTGTTTTGGGTGTGGTACCGTAAGGTTGTTAGGCGGTGTGACGGTGAGGAGATGATCGGAGAGTGAAAGTGCTTGCTGCTAGGGTATGGAATCTGGTATGGGGATGGAAGGAAAATGAAATCGAGGGGGATCATATGTGGATGGGATGGGAGATCGAGGTGGATGGAGGTTGAAACACGCAACCGCACGAGGTGCAGTTGTGACGTCAACCCGACGAGTGCGTGGAATATGCGCGGATCGAGGACTGGGGGGGAACGAGCGACAAGCACGCCAGCTGATTGGATGGGGCCTGGGTGTGGCGAGGGGAATGCGCGCATCGGATGAGTCACAATCACGTGAATAAATCAGTTGCTGACCTGGGCGCGCGCTGTTCGGCGCGGGTGGGACGGGCACTTCAAATAGGGGGAATCCATCGCATGCGGAAACGATACATGTGGCGCATGCGTCCCAATGCGCTGGTTCGTTTCGACTAAGGCGGGGTTTCAGTTCATTTCAGTTGGCTGTGCGCCGTGGCAGACCGCGACGGGGTATTGCGAGCCGCGTCTCATGATTCCGTCTTCATCTGTGTGTGATTCCTTCAAGAGAGGTTTGCTGGCAGTTTTTTATGAGAGGTTGGAAAATCAATGGGACCATGTTGTAATTCGGGCAGGTTTCATCCACACATTACTGGTTCTGGCTTTGAACTGCTCGTCAACACTGCATGCGAAGGAGAACAAAAGCGTTCAGAAATCGCACCAGTCCTTGGCGCGCCAATACAAGTATGAGGGTGGTGTCCCTCGTAACGAAGGTTACACAGTCGCATGAAAGGATTTTCAATGCGTGAAAAACACCCATCCTCCTGATCATGAAACATGAAATGAAACGACTCGCGAGCTGACGATGACACTGCAGTGTCGACAGCAACCCCTGCCCATCGTTCGGTTGTCTGTTCAGCCTGTGGGACGTGAGTTGCCCCATTCAAGGTTGACCAACAGATGGCAACAGTTGGCATTCTGCCATCATTCCGCCATGCAGATGGAATTGAGTGAACCTGGGAATTGACTGGTGCTTGCCACAACAGAACGGGCAGTTTCCAGGTCACTCCGGCAGGTAGAAAGCAGACTGCCACGGACCAATTTCTGGAATTGCTACATGCGCATGGCATTGGGAGGCAAAGGCAGCCTTTTGACCTCCAATTCAAGCAGTTGAGAGCAGAGTTCCGGGCAGCTGTTGACACTCCAGAACGCAAGGTCGGTTTGTCTGCAATTGTATGTTAGAGCAGGATTACACTGTGGAGTCGTACATACCAGGCTGGCTTCACCCACGAATGACGTGGCTGTATATGTTGGACAAATCGGGACCAGCTCCAACACAGCGAATCTTCCAACTCGGCTTTACGACTTTCCCTGCGACTCCACGTTCCCGCCATTTCCGGCCGAGGCAATCCAGAAAGGCATCTTGTGACGTGACAGACAAAGGTCAAGGCACGTTTCGAAAACATGCTTGAAGGATTTTCGGCGCGCTGAAACGGAAATCCAAATCGCAGGGAAGAGCAATCTGTGAAGACGTCAGAAATACGTCACCGATTAAGACCTCACACGAGAACCCAGTCACAGCTAGATACGTATGAGTCAGCAACCCAATCCATACCTGGTCGATGGGACTGAGAACGTCACAGAATTTGCATTCTGTTGTTCCACTGTCACTCGATAGTGCAAACCTCGGAAACAACATAACACAAACGAGCCATAATCTGTGCAGCACAAAATTCTCCATTCTGTGAACACTATGACAATATGATTGCTCCATTCTGTACGTACTGCAAGTCCCATGGGCATTTATTTACTAGCACTCGTGCAAAATAAATTCATGGATCATATTCAGCTTACCTGATGGCCACACCATCGCAATAGGTCAAATTCGTTTCTTTATTTATTCCTAAAATTAAATTGTTATCGTACCATGTCCTATGGCTCTCTATATTCATATAAATCTTTGTGGTGCACCTCTGTGTACGTTGTTGGCCTGAAATAAAATCACCTCTAATTCAAAAACCACCAATTATATAGAGCTCAGTCTCAAAGACCTTAAACTTTCCTCTAACCTCATACAATCCTTACACAACCCACCCCACCACAGCACATCACTGCACACCTCGTCTGCGTTTCATCAAGCCGGCAGGATTCTGTCTACGATTGCGAGGCACTGAAAGCTGCTCGCAAGCGCAGCGTTTCGTTTTTTCGCACGTCGCGCGATCACAAGCGTGGCAGGCGCAGGATCAGTCGACTGCTTGTTTTCTGCCGTGGTGATGGTCTAGAGACCTCTTTGTGCTCCCATCAAACCCGCCATTGTGTCCGCGTTACCACTTTACTCTGAGCTTGGTTGATAAATCGCTGCTCTGTCACTACCACTGTGCTCGGCAATAAATCGCACGGCACTAGACTCCGTACAACATTGGCGAATTTGTTAGTAAAACAGGTCGCGCTGGGTGTATGACCGTGCCGTCCGGTTTATGAGATTGCCGTCCTTCGATTCGATTCGCGGTTCCGCGAAATCCGTGCCAATGCTGATCAATCTCTCTTCTCGGGCCTCGTCTTTCTGCGCCGGAGGCGCGGTTGCGCCGGCAAAGGACAGCGTTAATCGGCGGATCGCGTTAGATCCGCACAGATCTGGTCCTTGTGTGACGTCATCACATTCCCCTGATGGTGAGTCAATTCGTACGCACTATTAGCAATACGGTACCATATTCGGGTGCACTGCATAGGCTCTACCATCCATTTGCTGGTGGCGCACTTACCTAGGTGCGCTACATTATTTTCGCACATTTGGTCTACCACTGCCTACCAACGGTCTCAGGATCTCGCAATTCTCGCCTTTTCACACTCCAACACCTTCAGGGATCCGCCGTTCTCGCGCCGTTATCTCCGCGCGCTTGGTCTCGAGCTCCGCCGTGACCCCCGCCGCGGCCACCCGAGGCGCGCCGTTTCCGTCTCTCAGAAGCAGCAGCAGCGGCCAGCGGAGCCGCGCCTGGCAGAACGTCCTTAAAACGCTTCCCGCTTTAGAGACGTCGCAGAGCTCGCTCCGCGCGCTACTAGCCGCCGCGGCCGCAGAGGGCGCCGCGGCTCCGGCCTCCGCCCACGAGGCGGCTTTAATCGACGGGAAGGCGATTGCGGAGGAGATTAAACGCGAGATCGCGGCGGAGGTGAAGCGGATCCAGGCGCTTCCGGGCGTGCACCTGACGCCGGGATTGGCGGTGGTTTTAGTGGGCGATAGGAAGGACTCGCAGTCGTATGTGCGTATGAAGAAAGCGGCGTGCGCTGAAACGGGGATAACGAGCTTCGGTGTTGACCTGCCGGTCGACGTGAGCGAGGAGGAGGTGGTGGCGGCAGTGCGCGAGCTAAACGACAACCCGGACGTGCACGGGGTTCTGGTGCAGCTGCCGTTGCCCAAGGTATTGTTCGGGTGTAGAGTTTTAACGGTGGGATTAGGGTGTGAGCGAGGAGGAGGTGGTGGCAGCGGTGCGGGAGCTAAACGACAACCCGGACGTGCATGGCATGCTGGTGCAGCTGCCGTTACCCAAGGTGTGTCCAGGGTTCTGGGTTTTGGGTGGACTGCAGCCAGGCGCTAGGGTTGACTGTTCAGGAGCGGGTGCGAGTGCGGAGAGCATAGGCAAAGGACGTGGACGGGTTCTACCCAACCAACATCGGGTCAGAAGCCCAAGGTTACTGAAGCATCCCCTCCTCACCCCCTCCCCCCTGACCCCCCTCCCCCCGCCCTTCCCACCGCCCGACCCCGCCCCCAGCACATCAATGCGGAGCGGGTGCTGAGCGCAGTGAGCATAGAGAAGGACGTGGACGGGTTCCACCCAATCAACATCGGCCAGCTGGCCGAGGCCACTGAGGCACTCCCGCCCTCCGCTACCCCCCTTCCTCCCCACCCATTTCCTCCCCCCGCTTTCCCCATTTCCCCAACCCCAGCACATCAACGCGGAGCGGGTGCTGAGTGCGGTCAGTATCGAGAAGGACGTGGACGGCTTTCACCCAATCAACATCGGCCAGCTGGCGATGGCGGGGCGCAAGCCACTCTTTGTGCCGTGCACGCCACAAGGATGCATTGAGCTGCTTATCCGGAGCAAGGT